ATTTAAACTTCCCTCAGAAGTATCTGTTGACTGGGTAGAGGAGAAATCCTAATACTGAAATATGTCTCCTTAGCGTAGATTATAAGAGGGAAATATTTCAAAATGTATTTGCACCCTTACAAAAAGTGTCACAAGAAAAGATTTCACGTTAGGCACGCATAGAATCATAGAGGTAATGAGTTTGATAAAAAGCAAGACTTTCTACCCAAATGTCACGTATTTTAATGGGGGCGTACTTTAAATACGTGTTTCCCACTTCGCAAAAAATGAATGAATTAATCACTATCCAAGGTAATGGAGCGCCGAAGGCGCGACCAGAACCAAGTACCAGTACTTCTTGGTCAACTTCACCATTGAGACTCCGTGTTGGACCGGGACCGAAAAAACTATGTGAGCTTCTCGCAACTATAAGCCATGCTAGGGTAATGCACAATGCGCTCATATACGTATCTGCGATTTCTCGATTAATGATGACTTTCAAAATGTAACGTACCCATGTCAAAACCGTACGTACTGTTGTCAAGATTCGATTTCCCCTCCCCAAAAGTCGTAACAGAACGTCCTACGATCAATTTCTAACGTACCTGGAGTCAAAACTTAAGGCAACTTCGGCAAAACCCTCTGGACGATCCATTACTGTTTATGGGAAGGCGACGAGTCTCACGGATCGATGCCCGCTCTCTAAGCCGTACCTGGTGAAATCGACAAAAACCTCCACAATGTCAAACAATGGAGCGTACTTTACTTTTTTGGGCAAGGAAGTTAAGTTTTGACGCGAGTGCCTTAAATTCGTTTTAAAGGACACCAGCAATGTATTCTATTGGAAGGTATGTTTCGGTAAAGGACGTTTGCCACGTATGCCGTATGCCATTTTTAAATATAATCGATGACGCTATATCTGGCCGATGATGTGCTCAGGAGTCAGGAGTCAGGAGTCAGGAGAGTTAGTGATATCAAGAGGCGATTTCGCCCATTTCGATATCACGTGTCGAGGTCGAGCGTTCCTTAATTTTAGGGTAGGCCTAACCCTCTTAAAGCTAAATATTTTTGTATTTTTGTTTTGTTTTTTTTGTTGTTTTTTTTTTTTTTTACTATCTTAGTTGCTTACTGTCTAGTACCTACGTCAACATTGCCCCCCACCTTTTTGCCTGTCCATGAAAG